GATATCACTAATAATAAACTAGCTGCATGCTGAATCCAAGCATTTATGACTCTAAGACTCTCAATTATTCTTAGTAAATTGTTTAGCTCAGAGTAGAACTCTTCATCTGCAAACCAAGAATAATATATACAGGTGTACAACACAGGTCAACAATTGATGACTCAGTTCTTCTAGGTGTGAGTGTGTGTGCACCTCTGTGTGTGTTTGTGAGTATGTGCATGTGTATATGTATGTGTGAGTATGTGTGTGGTGTGAGTGTGTGGTATGTGTGTGTGAGTATTGTGCAGTGTGTTTGAGTGTGTATGTACGTATGGGTTTATGTATGTGTGTGTGTGGTGTGTATGTTTGTGTTTTGAGTGTGTGTGTGTGTGTGTGTGTGATTACAGGTAGGTGAGAGGAGTTTCATTCCTCAGAAGTCATATAAACTTTTTTTTAAGGCAGGGTTTCTCATACATTTCTTTACAGAGGCTTGCCAGCAAACCATAGGGATCTTCCTGTCTCTGCTTCTCTGGTGCTAGTGTCTTAGGAGTAAAAATAAGAACAGGCCAGTAGGTCTGGCATTTTTCTTTTTTCTTTTATTTTTTTAAACAGGGACTTAATTCATGTTTTTATAGCAAGTACTCTGTGGGCTCCATCATCTCCCAAGCCTTCTAGTAAACCATTATAGCCAATTAATGACAATATTTGACTAATTTCAGAACTCTACCCCATTTTCTATTATGATGAAGCATGCAAGACACAGTTCATTATTTTAAGTGTTCAGTTCAGAGATTTATAGCATTGTTCTACAGCCACCTCCTGCCTCCATAATATTTTTTTCTTCTCTCTAAACTGAACATCTGTGCCCATCAAATAGACAATAAGTCTCAATTTTCCTTTCCATGCAGCCTCAAGCAACTGCCCTTGAATTCTCTGTCTCCATGACTTAAACTATTTTAACTATGCCATACAAGTAGAACCAGTCAGCCTTAAAAGAGAGTTCAATTGCAACCGTGAGTCCTGAGAGACAAGCATCGGTGTTAGATTCTCTAAACCAGAGGATGAACTAGACAGACACCTTGCTTACTTATGAATAGAGGTGCTTGTCCACTTTCTGTCAAAGCCATTGCAATGTCATGCTTGTGAAAGACAGATTGGAATTCTCAAAGGTCCTTTTGAGCAGTCAGAGTTCCTGGGAGACTACAGCTGAGGCAGATTTACATTTCTGACTAGTCAGCACTGTCAGGAATTCTCATACTTCCTCCCCTGGGGGTGAATGTTGCAGTCAAACAGAGATTCTGCTCTCTGCAACCACCTGACATTCAGGTGTTAGAGAGCTGAGCCACAGCAGCTGCTTATCTGGGCACTCTGCAATCCCAACTTTGACTTCTGGGAGGAGACACTGAGAGAGTAGTTACATGATCAAGGTTTGACTCAGAGACATGTCTTTCATGAGCCACCATGAAAAATATGTTAATACTTGGTTGGTAAGAGATTTAATGTTTGAGTCCTCCACAAAAACTCACTGAAATGCTAAGCAAAAAATGCCATTTGAAGGTAATTACCTGGTGAGGGTGCTGCCTCCATGACATAAATTCACACATTCACCACGTAAGCGTAGACTATGAACACCACTATATTTTTTATTTATTTTGTATTTGAAACAGGATCTCATGTAGCAAAAGCTGTCTTTGAACTTGCTATGTAGCCAAGAATGTCCTTCAAATTCTGATCCTCCTGACTGTACTCCCTGAGGATTGGGATTACAGGTATGCACTACTACATCCATTTTTAAAATGGGATGGGGATCTGCCGCCAGCCTTTCTGCAGAGCATGTTAGGCAAGGACTCTCTCTTCGGAGTTTCATAAGTACCTGGTCATCCTTGGACTGCCAATATCCAGAACTATGAAAGAAAATAAAAACAAGCAACAAACATTTCTGGTTTATAAACCAGTTAGGGAGGAAAAGAATCCAGTCATCTTGTGGGATTTTGGGTACTTGTTATAGCACCTTGTTCTTATTAAAGACATTCAGGCAGCTCTCAAGAGGATGTGGGCTCTTGCCCAGCCAATGAAGTAAGCCCTAAGCCAGTGAGAGAACCCTAAAGGCACATGGTTACTGAAGAATGTCCATTATCTGTCTTTGTTTCCTAATCTTCATTCACATGTACACACACACACACACACACACACACACACACACACACATCTGCATACTTGTGAATATACAGAGAAAGTGAGAACTTTCTCTTTTTTCTTCTTCTTCTTCCTTTTTTTGGGGGGGGGTGTTGAGATAGGGTTTCTCTGTATTGCTTTGCAGCCTATCCTGGAACTTGCTCTGTAGACCAGGTTAGCTTCTCACTCACAGAGATTGACGTGCCTCTGCCTCCCAAGTGCTGGGATTAAAAGCCTCTGCCACCAATGCCCAGTTCAATCTATTATCTTAAAACAAATGCAGACATGTAAAAGTGGATTCCATCTCATCCAATCTTTCACTAACCTATTTCATTCATTAAGTGATCGTGATTAAGTCCTCCAAAACATAGGAAGGAAGCTAAAAATTCTTTGAGTGAATAAAGATTGTTTTAATAACCTTTGTGTGTTGAGGAAATGAAACTTGGGTGGAAAGAGATGCATTTGATTACTGTCTCACATCCACCTGCAAGGCTTGAAATCTGAAGGCATAATGGCCTTGCCAAAAGCCTGTGATGTGAGTTAATTAATATTGAGAGCTACTGCAAATATTTCTCTAAAGATCATTATTTCTTCTCATTCTTTTGAATCATGTTATCTCTTTGAAGCAGGATATCTCAATGAATTTCTCAAGATGATATGCAAATTATATTTACTCAAGTTTACTAGATTAAACTATGACAGCTAGAACTATAGTGTAGATTCTGTTTCTAACATCACTCCCTTACAAAGAGCCACTGAGCAGGGATGTTTTCCATTTGCATCCAGGAGTCTGGTTCTCTATCACTTGTTCTAAAAATTATAAAATAACACAAGACTACAGAGGTGACTAACTTGGCAAGCTCTTCCAATGCAACTACAAGGAGCCGAGTCCTATTCCAAATGCCATGTAAAAGATCTAAGCAGTGATTGCCTGTAACCCATTTTAAAAAGACAGTGACAGAGATAGATACATGTCTTGGACTCATTGGACAGGCAATACTGCCAAACTGATGGGTTGGGTTTAGTGACAGTGTGCCTCAAGAAAATAATGTGTAGAGTGCTTGAAAAATACATATTTCCACATGCCTTGTGATACTCTCTCTCTCTCTTTCTCTCTCTCTCTCTCTCTCTCTCTCTCTCTCTCTCTCTCTCACACACACATACAGAGACACACAAACATACACACAAACTAATTGTCAAGAGCATTTTGGAGGACTTCAGTGAGCATATATTTGGCTAGGCAGTCTAAAGGAATTATTTAACTTGGTCTTCAGGATCTGTGAAGGTTAGGTCTTGTTTTCCAATTTTTATTAGCAAACCTGGGAATTCCAGTACTTAATTCTTTTTTTTTTTGTTTTATGAGACAGGGTTTCTCTGTATTGTTTTAGAGGATTCGATCTAGCCCGGCCTCGAACTCACAGAGTTCTGCCTGCCTCTGCCTCCCAAGTGCTGGGATTAAAGGCGTGCGCCACCACTGCCCGGCTCCCAGTACTTAATTCTAAGTTAAAAAACTAGGTGTTGGGATATTGAGGAATTGTATATAAAGGATGAGTGTGTCTGCCTCCTGCAGCCATGAAACTCTTGTATTCTATGATTCTGAGCTTTGATATATGAAGTGCTGTAGTCTTCAGTCCTTTTACCTGACTTCCAATCTTTTTCATCCCCACTTTCTTTATTAAGTCTAATAAGGAACCTCAGTATATTTTTAAAGCAGTCTCTTGTAGGCAATTTCCTTAAATAGTAGCCTCCATTTTTCTTCCCACTACCAATACAACAAAAATTCTTACTCTCTCTATTTGTTGTGAAAATCAGATATTCAGTCTTTGGATTCCTTTTTCCCTCACATTCTCCTGCCTTTTCATCAGCAAACCTCATTGATTCCTTCCCAGTCTCAGATACACTTAAAATCTCCTTCACTTCTGATGTACAAGTGCTATACTCCTCACAAGTCTTAACTCCTCCTTCTTCCTCATTCCTTCCTATTTCATTGTAATTCATTCTGAATTCAGCAATTTAAAGATTCTATAAATATACTTTCTGACAGGCTTAATTCCATGGTTGGGACTTTGTTTGTATGAGACACTTTTGTGTAGTTCAGGCTGGTCTCAAGATCACTATGTAGCTGAAGATGACCTTGGACTTTTGATCCTACTGCCTTCACTTACTGAGGAAGATTTTGATTATAGGAGTGTACTATCATACCTTGTTTATTTGGGGCTGAGGATCAAATGCAGGGTGTTTTTGTATACTGTGAAGTCATTTGCTAACTGAGCTACATCCCCAGCCCATTGAATCACCTTTAGTTTTAATTAATAAGTCTATGTCCACCTGATGACTCATAAACAGATGTCTAAATAGATACTGTACAAAGACAAATCTCCTCCACAGAAGTATACATCTGCTCCTTCAAACAGAGCTGTTGTGTAAGTAACAGTCCTCTAGGGAAAAAAATGAAATGTAGGCAAGGTAAGACAAAGTACAAGTGCTGTGAGTGGACACTGAGAAGGGGTCAACAAGGCTAGGCTACAGTTTTCCTGGGAGGTGCTGAAGTCAGGATGGTTCAAGGATGGACAATTTTTACCGAACCAGTGAGCTTGCAAATGTACACTTTTGTGCATAACATGCAGTTTGCTATGAGTCAGTTAAGCATGAAAGAACCCAAGACAGTACTTTGAGTTACACTGAAATTAATAAACTTGGAGAGTCAGAGTTCTGTGTTTTTCATGGGTCATGTTAGCTAGAAGTTAATGATCTAAGAAATCAGAGTGGGCACCCAGGGATTAATTATTTGACTCCTCATTAACCCAAGAACAACACACCAAGACATATTTGTGTTCCACACAAAATGATACAAAATTCTTTCTTTATTAAATATACAGTATTTACAGGTAAGTCTTTCTTCTGTACAGAAAAAACCATAGAAAACAAAGAAATCTAAGGCTAACTAACTTTTTCCATACAGTGTATTAAGACATGTTACATGGTATACAAAACAGACTTGGGATGGGGCAACATCACATGGGACTAGGAATTCTGATACAGGAAAAAAACCTACAAGAGCCAAAGAAACAAGGTGTCTCCAGCTAATCCCCAAGGGTATGGTCTGCTTTGCCTCTGTTGTGCTTTTATCAAAGAAAGGTAATTATATGAATGATATATATGAATATGTATTCACTTATAATCTATAATTGTGAGAGGTACTTTTATACTTTAATTATTTGCTAAAGGCAATCTCCCTGACCACTCATTTTTCCAAAGAAAGTGCCACAAAGACTCTAATTTCTCAGTTGAAATGGAAAAGGTAATTCTTTGTCTCAGGGATTTAGGAATTTCATTATCCAAATGAGAAGTGTTGCCCACTTTATAAGATATAATTAGAACTTGTCATGTGTTTCATTCCACTGTGTTCTATCTTCCTGCCATTGGCTAGCTGGCTGTGGGAAGGGTCTGTTTAAAATGACATAGGCTGTTGGGGAGCCTGTCTATTGGCAACTTCAGTAGAAAATTTTTGACACTGACCCTCACTAACTATGAAGTCCTTCTCATGATATAACTATACTACTTTAAGTAAGGTATGCTTACTTTATTTTTGATAGAGTTATTTACTTAAGGCAGGACAAGGTTATACTAGTTGCTGCTGCCATTCAGAGAGGTGAGATTAAGTTACTTCACGTATGTCCTTTGGGATATGGCTGACTATAATGTGAAAATGTAACTAGTCAGAGGTCCGTTCAGATCATCCTGTAAGGTTGCAAAGAAAATGGCTTCACCTGGTCAGGCCATTCAAGGAGGCTTCAGGGTGACAGGAGGCCTGTTCTGCATACCCAGTGCCTTTTTCATGTCCTCTGAGATTTACTGCTGGAATCTGAAGCATGGCATTGTATAATGCTAAAGAAAATATGACAAGGCTTTAATCACTGATACACATCATCTTTTTCATAACTTGGGACCAGCTTTGTCATTTTAACCTGCCTTTGATGCAAGCTTTACTTGTATACTGAGTGGCATCATGGAAAGGGTGTTCATAGAATATCAGGCAGTGTCTCTTGGAAGTATATACTGTAGGTGATAGACAGCATCTATAATTTTGGCATGACAATGTATGGCATTACCAAGGAAGGGGAAAGAAAGGCCACTAGACTTATTCCAGTATTTCAGAATTTCCATCCGTAGGGTATCTGATTAGGGACAGTGGACCTGAGGATATTGACCATAGTTTATTTTACTTAAAGCTGCCATCTGAATGCTCACCCTCGGCAGATTAAAACACTGTGGTTATAATTCCAAAGTATCCCTGGATTATATTTCTGAAACATCAAACTTGAAAATCACTGGGGTAGGGTGAAAATGCCATGTAAAGATGAGTAAAACTTTCTCATGCAGGGCCTGTAACATCGTCTATTCCCTACGGCAAAAGACAAATGTGTGAAAGATACCTCCTGAGTTAGGAGTCAGGAAAGTGGGAAGAGGAACTTTTGGCCATTTTAACCTCCAGAAGCCATTGTTTGCTCCATGAATACCCTCTTTCTCATTGACAAGTTTCCATCATATCTGCTTTAGCAAAAAGCCCACCATTACCTAAATCTTGCTTGTGTCCTCTTAACCACTTTTTGGACAATAAACATTACACATGACATAGGACTAGCTTACAAAGTACACTCTTTCTTGACAACATGTGCTTCTTACTTTCCCCCCAGAGTACTTTAATGGAAAACAAAAGGGGAACCCCAAAAAATATTAAAAAATCATTAGAACCTTGTAGGAAACATTTAAAGAACTTCCAACACAAAGTTGTGATATTCTCTCCCTAAAAAAGTAAGTATGCCCCTGCCCTATATGAAATGACAGGCTATGGACACCCCCATGGAGGGCCTCACCCTCCCTGGAGAAATGAGGGGATAATGGGGGGACTGGGGGGAGGGCACGGGAGGAGGGGAGGGAAAGGGAGAGGGACCTGGAACTGACTTGTGAAGCGACCTTGTTTCTTATCTAAATTTAAACTGAAAAATAAAAATTAAAAAAAAAGTAAGTATGGATATAGTTTCCAGGATAATGTTTGAGAAACATCCCTATTTGTTTTGATTGGTGTGTGTGTGTATGTGTGTGCGTGTGTTGTCTTGTCCCTTTTTAATTAATCAGCTATTTAGATTTTGTGAAAACTGAGCTGAGACTGAACAACTAACATTTTCAACACAAATGACTTGAGGAAGACTGTAGGCAAGTCCAGGAGAGGCTAAAATAATCCCAAGCTGGTACAGAAGTGATTAAGATACACTGTGAGTCTTTTAAAGAAAACATTTCCCATCTGCATGAGAGACATGAAACAGCACTCAGGCATCCTTCAAGAACTCAAGCATGTTTGTGTTTGCCCATAACACCGTTCCATTAACCTCCTTTGCCACTTACAGAAACACCACTGCTTATTTATTTATTTAGATGAAAGTTGACTTGTGGGGCAGTTGAGGACAAAACAAACCCCCAAAAAATGGCTTCAGGAAGTAATGAGTGGCAGGATAATATAGGTATCACAAGAGCCTCTTGTGAAAGTGCTGTTGCAATAAGTATGATGATATATAGCTCAAGGGAAGCATTTGTTAGACAAAATATAAGCAAGAGTTTCACAGGCTTGATACTAAAATACATGAATACCATGGGCAAGTTATGAATGCGAATTCCTACTGTGTCTTCTAAGTGAGGAGATATTGTATGCAGAGTGAGTGTGCATGGCCTTCAGGGTTGGAAAGACTCATGATTATAGATGGACAACATACCAAAAATTTATTTCACTTAATAGATAATTTCTAGTTCATGGAGATTTACCTAGATATAGTCAAATGGCTCCTTGGGGCAGAATTGGGAGAGTTAAAAATGCCAGAATACCAATTAGCTTAAGATTTAAGAGCTTAAGATAGAAAACTTTAACTGGAACTGACATGAAAGCATAGAGAATTTAGCAGCCTTTAAAATATATCTGATATAAGCAGAGATGGTGGTCCACAACTTAGCAGAGTTAGGTCATTCTCTGTGAGTGATAGACCAGCATGATTACAATAGGGAGCCCAGACCTGCCATGTGCTACCTAGCAAACCCTGTTTTAAAAAAGTGTGCCTGATACAGGGACTGTTTATTCTTCCTCTTCCAAAAAGTCCATTTAGCACCCTCTACATAAATTCACCTGCACGGCTGGTTACCTCATTTAGGAAGATTAAACAAAGCAATCATTTCTGGTAGAATTAATAAATAAGACACAAAATAATAAGAATTGTTCAAAAATGTATTGGCTTTTCGACTTCTCTGGGCAGTGGTTTGCACATTAGCTGTGCCTATTACTTGCTCTCTGCTCCCTGGTGCTGTGTGGACACCTTTGTTTCTGTAAGATCTGCTGCTATGTATTGCACTCTAAGTCCAAAAGGACTGTAAAAATTTGTATATCCACAGAGCACTTGGAGTCATGATCTTTTCACATATTTTATGACTAAATACAAGAAAAAGAAGGGTATACTCGTTTATTGTGGTTCTGCTTCTGCTATTATGTGGTAGTTATAATTCTGAAAAAAGTCGAGAATTAAGATAGTGCCACTTCCTTTTTATAAAGAAAAATGTTGAAAATTATCAGCTCCAGAGTTCTTCAGAAGAACACGAGGTCATCTATTTATGAAATAGACATCCAGAAGATGACAAATGCCTGTTTTCCTAACCTAGTTCTTGGTGAAACCATAGTAATCTACCCTATGCAAGGACTGAATGACACAACCGTTGCTGAAAGTCCTTTATAGTAAACAAATATACAGTTGCTTGCATTAATAGACTTGTTTAGTGGACTAATATCAATAGAACAGCACCTGAGGATGGGATAGTGCACAGGTATTTTTTATCTTACTGTAAAGGAACTATATTCCACAAATTCATTTTATGAAAAGCAGCATCAACGATGGACTATTATATAATGGGAGACATCACAAAACTTGTATACTATAGAGATAAGTGATGGATAAAGGATAATTAGAACACTCTGACACTTGTTTTAGGTTGTAATTTTTTGAAGGTGGAAAGTACAATTGAATTATTTTGTAAATCAAATAGATCTTGCCCCACCATTGAAGTGTGGCCTTGTTTCTAACTGTGCACTCAGTTTAGGAAGACACAGATTGCTAGATTTTCCACCTGGTGTGTGTTGTGGGGTTATTAAGAAATTATGATTTAGCCCTGAGACTACATATAATAATAAGCCATCTTTGCATACATCCCCTGTTTCGTCTACTTGCCCAGTGTCCTGATATGCAAGCCTGAACATACAGGGGTGAAGCCAATAGAATGTGCACTATGCAGAGGGTAGAGCCTAACTTTACACATTTCCCTACATGATTGTCTCTAAGTAAATATTTGTAGACGAGAGAATTACACACATTGATTTGACTTGTACTTCCATTTCTAGCCAATCATATCATGCCAGAAAAATATGGTGCTTTCTTCTAAGGGTTTCAGTTTCTTTCCCTTACCTGTTGTTTCACTACAAGAGGTGCTTAGGGCTAAACATCAACATGATTTCCATTTCATTCCCAGTGGCAAAGGAATATGCAGCCAAATGAGAGGGTGATTTAAACAACCTTTTATAGAGCCAGAAAATTCAAAAGTAGAAGTTGGAGTTCAGGGAATGAAGGGCATAGGGAAATAGGCTTTCAGTATTTCTCATTTTATTAGATGATCATTTGTCATATTAAAGATAGAAAATTAAAAAGAGCATCTCTGTTAGAATTGCTTTAAAATAAATTCACTAGCAAAAGGATAACAATATCCTAAGAGAAGAAGAGGGTGGGTAAGAATTCATAGAAAATTTTAAGGACAGAACATGTATTTAGAACGACATCTCAAAATTGTGGACTGTGATGCCACACCCAGTGCATACGTCTGTAGCGTTGCAATGGTAGAAAGACTACAGATTGGAGCCTGGGTGAAGTGAGTGAGTGCTTAACTATGAACTTCCTGTCCAGGGCAGTGCTGAACATCCAGAAGTAGGACACTTACTAGGAAGATGAATGACCTACTCACTGTCAAGTTACCAGCTTTGCAAATTAGGTCTGCCTTGCCTTATCCTTCACAGATCTGACGTCTATCATTTCCTAAGACCTTTAGAGTTTGGGTGGTTGTTTCCTTTCCTTTTTTGTGTCTTCATTCTAATGTGGTCCAGAGTGAACAAATTCAAGATGCCTTTTTGAATTACCTGTTTGCCTTGCTACCAAAAGAATCCAAAGCCTGAGATGCATCACTGCCTTATGTAAGCAAGCAAGGCAAGTGCATGGCCACGTTTGTGTACACAGGTGCAGACTTGCCAATATGATTTGTTTCACAAACTAGGGGCTTCCACTAAATCCCTTGACTTAGTGATGGCCACACTACGACACACATTAGTCAGGGCTTTGCCTCTTGTGAAATAGCTCGGTTGTCAGTGAATTCATAACATGTGTTCTAGAATGTGAATTCTGTTTCCATGCACATTCTTTTGTTACTGGATCTTTCTGGAGTGGGTGAATGGAGATAAATGGGATAAATCTGCTTGGTATTTCTCATTTTCCTTGCAGCTTTCTTATTTTATTTTATTTTCCAGTTTTCCTCCATGCTGAGTTAAGAGGGCCTAAGCATTTCTCATGGAACCAATTTAGACTTTCATTTGGATTCTGTTTTTGCTGCCACAATACACACATGTGTGTATTTTTCTTCATTATAGCAATCATAGGAATAAACTAGCTAACATGTTCGAGTGAAGTGTAGAAGGCAGTTAAGGGAGGCCCTACTTCCTCACAGCTTTCTTGAAGCCTCCTTGGTTCAGAGTACTGTATCCATACCTCAAGACAGAACAGTGAGAGAAGCATAAAGTAACTGTTCACTACTCAGTTATTCTATGTTGGAAAGTACTGAGACTCTATGGAAACAAAGATGAATGGAGCTGGAATACTTATAGTAACCACATTAAAATAACACAGATACCTCTGGTTTCCTGTAAAATGCCATCAAATCAAACAGACCAGAAGGGTCTTCCTCTGTCCTGGGTCCCTTAGCTAGGTCTTCTTTTAACCTAGGTCCACACATAAGTGTCTGTTCTCACAGGTGTTATGAAGGGCTCCCATGGCATGCAGATCTGTAGCCTCTCTGCCCTCAGCTCTCAAGGGAACCAAGTTTCCCCATGCACTCATGCAGATACTTAACTCCTAAATGGAGAAAGCTACAGGCAGGACACCTGACACACTCACTAGGCTTATTTCTCTTTAATCTGTATCTTAGGAAATAATGTCCTGGAAGCTTAACAAATACCTACTTAGGTCACAAAACAAAACACAAATAAATAAATAAATAAAATAGAAAATAAATTTAAGAAACAAAATAAAACAAACAAAAATTGTCTCTAAGCCTGTCTAGATGATGTCTGCTTTAGAAGCATTTCTTTGTGGTATAATGTGACCCAATATCCCTATCCTATCACAAGGGACATAAAAGAACAAACATTGCTGTCTCTAATTGGAATACTTTCCTTCAAACTCTTCTGCTGTAGCAGGCTCCCCAATAGACTCTTTGCTTAAAGGATGATCTGACTCTGTCCTTTTCTATCACACTCAACCACCCCTTTTCTCCTCTCAAGCCATAATACCTAACAATATGGTATGGGGCAGGGTGTCAGCAATAATTATTGAAGGCCAGTGCCACAGAACTCAAGTCTAATGGAAGCTGGCAAGACCAAGTGCCTGAGAAACTAAAGAGTGAAGTTTAAAACTCAACTACAAACATTAAATGTGCATGTGTGCACTCATATCTTTTCCTTGTTTACAATAGTGAAGTCTGTGTCTCCAGTGGTCAGTTTCACAACAATGCATGTGTCAGTGGATTACAGTAGCCACAGCTCTACCTGACCTGCTGAGCTTGGGGAGATCAATGCTCTTGGTGGATGCAGGTGTGTTCTGAAAAATTAAGAGTGAAAGAGAGAAAGAGAATACCTAAATTAAAAGACAGTAAAGATAAGAGAAAAAGAGAGAGAAAACCCCGCAAAAAAGAGGACCAAGTGACCCTGTGGCATCTCAGATGAAATATTCTCGTTTGCACTCGCTGGCTGTGTTTTGCAAGTCAATGTCATTTCTAAAGGAACTGTCTAAGTTCTCTGGGTATTCCTTCTCCTTCATCTGATTGGTACGGCGTGACTGCTTATGTTGATAGAGGAAGCGGGTCATGATGCCGATGACACAAAAGGTGATAAATGTCACCACTGCTATGACACCTGTAGGAAAAATAGGAGGAAAGAGAAGAAAGTTGTCACTGAGAAAACTCAGTCTACACAAGCACATACTTTGGTGGGAAAAAGCAACATGGCAAATACACAAACACTAATCTACTCTATATTCAGAAATAAAGACCTGTAGAGAAACCCTTGACCTTCAGTTTCAATAAAACCTCCTGCAAGCAGAGTAATGAGGGAGAACGGCTGTTTCTCTGAGAAAGTTGTATTGATGGCCTAAGAATAAACATGGAGTTAGAACAACAGAGGATTTGTGTGGTATCTCAGCTGTTTATTTTTTTGTTGCTATGGTACAAAACCAGACTTCACAGATTTTAAATACACCAAGCCTTGCCAAGAATTCCCTGATCTAAATACCATCCCGACCCCCTTGTGTGTGTGTGTGTGTGTGTGTGTGTGTGTGTGCGTGTTTGAAAGTATGTGTGTGTGTGTGTGTGTGTAGGTTTTTGGCTGCCATAGCACTTGTGTGGACATCAAAAAACAACTTAGGAGTCTATTCTTGCCTTCTGCTTTGTTTTGATTCAAGATTTCTCTTCCTGTCTCTGCCATTTCTCCATTCTGTGATACAGAGTGGCACCCAATTTCAAAATAAATAAACAAACAAATAAATAAAGCAACTGAGCAACAAACAGCATACATGTGAAATTAATAATTAATGAAAACAAAACACTTCAGTTTTGGTCATTCAAAATAGCTTCATTTCTAAAAAAGCATATACATGCATATTTCATTTTCTCTAAGTTGTTATGGTTATTGTTCACTACTGTTTAAGTGGATACATACCAGAAAGTTAAATGTATCTTCCACCAAAATTTTAAAAGTTAAGATAATAGCCACTTCAATTTGTCATATATTCTGAACTCATTGGGTAACATGTTTCCCAACTATTTTACAACATGGCAAAATAAAATTCCAAAGTTGATAGCCTAGTCTGGCTGGCAATGAATGAATCTAAATCATGAACTATAGCTTTCCAACATGGCAGAGGTTGCCTGTTTTCTACTGCTGGTTTGAAGGGGTTATTGCAGCCTGGAAGCTGGGCAAGCTTCCCAGGATCTCCTGTGGGTCTGTGATAACCTTCCCATTCTTGGAGAGACTCAACAGAGCTTGTCAATGAGTGGGGAGTGCCAATACCCACAGTCTTTTCTCATTAAATGAATACTTACAGAAGACCAAGAGTTATAAAATACTCTATGACATTTACTGATTTTAAAGAAAAATAAAGTTCCATCCTAATTCACATGGATGTTTTAAGGAAACATCAAGGTCCTTCTGTTCTTGGATGCTACTGTGGTAGAGTATGTCTGCTCATATTTGCCTGTGGAACTAGCTTCTATACGGTTTCTGATGCCTGCTTGCCTAGCCCCTTCCCAGCCAGTCTTCTCAATCTAGAAAGGCAGTAACTGGATCTCTACTCCTGCATCTCTGTGTTTAGTATGGGTCTGACCCATAAATGGAGCTAATTAAATAGAAGTGAAATGAATGACTCCTGCCGACTTTTAAAGATCTCCATCTGGTGTGGATTCATTCATTCCAGCTGCCAGAAGACAGGGGTGAGGCACCTGCTATGATTATAAGTCACCAATGTGAATGTATTTCCATATCTCAGGCATCTTACATTAAGCAGTACTTGGGAGAGTTTCCATGTTGCAAGACTCAGTGGGGAGCATTAAACTCCTGCAGGCATTAGACATGCTGAGACAGAATAAAGAGTGGGATAGGGTAACACTATCACACAGCTCAAAAACTGTAAATCAAGAGAAGGTGGTGGTAGATGAGCTATAAGCAGAGCAGCAAACTCTTCATCCATAACCAGATGGGCTGCTGGATTTGGAATTTTAGCCATATGGGCTTCACCCTGCTCATTAGATCTAACCCAAATCACTCCATAAAGGAGAACCGAAAACAACTGCAGCTCCGTCCATCTGTCCAACCATTGTGACATCTTTCCATATGTAATTTTACTGGTCTGTTTTGTCTGTGCTTTAGAAGTAACAACTAGATGCAATGAACAAGAAGCAGGCTGCCTGTCTGTGAGTAAATGCTCCAGCTGTTGGTTCAGAACTCAGGTGCCTGCTGCATTGGGGGCAGAATGAAGCCATGAAGCTGAGGGCACTGGAGGAGGGCCTGCTATTAATCTTGCACCAAGCATTAAGAGGCTAAGGGCTGGACAGACAATGCTTGATTCTGGGTGTTGGGCAATCACAGGAAAGGAAGGCTTCAGACAATGCTCTGCTGAGCATAGGATCATAGATATCTTTCCTGCTTTCAGTAATGAAGACAAGTTACCTCCAATGATGGCAGAGTCACTTCGGACTGCGTTTGAGAGTGGTTCGCGTTCATCTGTCTTTCCAAAGGGATCTATACAGAAGAAAAGACCAAAACTTAAACGTCACTCTTCTCTCAAGCACAGGGAGAGAATACATAGTGTGATGTACAACTGTGTGGTGCACCACAATTCCTGCAGGGATACAGGAACTGGTGTTTAAAAAGGAACCTATATAAATGGCATTTAAGATGATGACCTACATCCAATTCGAGAGCCTGTACTAAAAGCTGAATTCTGGGGCTGCAATCTGTAATCCCAGTGAGGGAGTAGCTGGTCATTTATGTAGATCAGTCATAGAAACAAGGCAGACAGACTGTGCCTCTGAAACAAGTTGAAAATGAAACCCAACTCCCCAAATCTTGTCTTCTCACCTCTATATACTTTAAGACACATGCATAAACACACTTCACAAATATTTAAAGGTGAATAAATGTACTGTTTGCAAACTATATTTCATGTCCTCGTTAACTTGGAATAAGCTGCGAGAGAGTCTTGAGATGGTTAGGGTGGTGCCTGGCACATGCTCCTTCAGTCATCTGTTCGGCCTTCTGCTTTGCTGGAGAATTCCTAGGAATGACAGCTGCCCTTTATTTCACATTTTCCTCTGTGCCTCAGTGTACTCTTTGGCTGCATGAGGACCTAAGTCAACTGACAAGATCATCCAAAAGACGGGAAGAACTAGCCCCTCAGAGCAGCCCTCACCAGAGCAGCGACAGTTCAGGGTACACTCTTAACCCCTGAGCCTTTGCTGTAGCCCAATTTATTTTTCTTTTGAAACAGGGTCTCATATAACCCACGTTGGGCATTAACTTGCTGTAAAATGGAAGGTGACTGTGAAGTTGCTATATACTAGAGGATGGAGACATGATAGAAGAAATTTAGAGAGACAGAGATATAGGAAGACATGAAGTGAGGGAGACAGGGAGGGAGAAAGGAAGGGATGAGGGGAGAAAAAGAACAAAGAAAAAGATAGCTAGGCATAGAAGAAAAGAGTTAGGAAGAAGATAAGTGAAGGGCCTCAAAGGCCAGTGCCTGGTAAACATGGTTCTCCCAGGCTTTGCCCTCCCCTTTCCCTCTCCCTTGTAAACCACAGGTTACTTCCGTAAAGCTAGCCCTCGAGTTCTGTTGGCTTATTTGGACATTTTCTTATCCCACACTTATTCCTGAGGATGAATAAAGTCCAGCAATCAAAAGGCTCCTTTGTCTCATCTAATTAATATTCCCATTCAAAATATACCACCACTGCATCCTGACCCATTGTAACAGACCTCTCCTTTTTTCATCTTAAAAATGACCCCTGAAAGTTCATTTGCTGCTGTTTTTCTGAATAAGTCAGAAAGCAGCCACTTTATTTCTCACCAATTAATAAAGGATCTCTTGGTGAAAAGAGGTGTTTGGATGTCTTTTTGTCTAATCCAAGCTCTTCAGAGAGGAGAGAGGGACACATACAGCTTCTCTTCAATAGGGAAGGAGACCGAGAGGGATAAAAAGAGTGGGAAAAAGGTAAAAGGGGTGTCTGGGTTGTAGGGAGTCAGGAAGAGACCGGGAGAAACAGGAGGGAAGAACTAGGAAGAGACAGAAGCTAGGGCGACAGGCAGTAAGGCAGGAAGGGAGAGAGCAAGGCAGAGAGAGAAGCAGGAAAGTAACGAAGCAGAGAGTGGGGGTGCAAAGTAAGGATGAGAGAAATGACAAACATTCAGCTATTCTGCCTCCTAGGTCCTTACAACTTCCTTACTCTGGCATATCACTATGTCAATTTTCCTTCCTGGAATTCCTCCTGCTTCTCCATGAATACGCAAATCTTAACTGTCTACAGTTCATACCTTTAGTCCAAGCACTACTTTTAACATTATAAATAACATAGTTCTTATGTTAACCCAGATTTCTCTATTTCTAGCATGTTTTGATGTTGTTAGCTTAATACATACTAATTTACTTCATTAATTCTAATCTCTAGTGTTTACAAAAGCTACAGAGAATTCATTTCAGATCTGCTAAGGTAACATTTTCAGTGGTATGGTGGTGATCGGGTTCTACAAAGTAACCCTTATTAGAGTGATGACATTTTTCAAGAGTGTCGCCTTTGCATAGCTGATCAACATTGAGTAATATACTTTAAATAAAATCAATCTTATTTTTAATTCTTCCTCCTTCGAAAATAAATTACTTAGCCTAAATGCATAAACACATCCTTGATTGTGCATCCATCCATCCTCCACCTGCCATCTACCATCTATCACCCTACAATTTAAATTTATGTGTATTTCTATTTATCTGGCTGCCATTTCTCTTTCAATGATTTAATAATGTATATATGTATCACTTTCACATCTATATTTGGTAAGGATTCCCATGTTAAAGTATAATATTTGACATTGCTTGACGACTAAGCCAAGGGGAGTGTTACCCGGTACTAAACACACACAATCTTATCAGAAATACGTAACAACACGAACACATTTCCTTTGAGAATGGTCTTCTACCATCTGAGAGTGACTGGCTAACTGTCTGATTGATGGTAAATAATGGATATGTGATAGATGTGCATTAATACGTGTGTATTCACACACACACAAACACACATTTCCCGTTTTTTGAGGAGATCTGCAATGAATCTTCATTCTACTTCCACCCCTTGCCTTTTGATAACAGCTATCCCAAGATTGGTAAGGAAACATTCCACTGCCACAGAATTTGTCATCCCTGAAGATTGATGGTGTTGGTACATTTCATATGGCCATACTTTTCATGCAATATTTTTCTCTTGGCCATTTTTATATCACTTTTGAAAAATGCACATGTGGATGCTTCGCCTAATTTTAACAAGGTGATTTATTCTCTGACTGTTGAGTTAAATCAATTAATATGTCTTGAAAATTGACTACCAAAAGATAAAAAGCTCAGAATTCTTTGCTCACAGCCCACATATTTTACTTTCTATTTTGATAATCATTTCATTTTCTGTGCAGAGCCAGTTCTAGATAGATGGCATTTTACTCATTCATTTATTTTTGCTTTCAGTATATGCATTTTAGTCACATTAATACAATATCATTTTCAAGACTAATATCAAGGTTATTTTTCTATAGTTTTTCTGAAAGTTTAATGTTTCAAGACATAATCCAGTTAATGATTTCTATGTAAAGCTATGTAAAGTATTTTTATAGACTAAGACAATGATCCAATTGCATGATTTTCTTTTACTTAGCTAACTCCAAAGCATTTATGAAGAGACTCTCCTTTCCCCCAGTGCTTGACAAAGATGCCTATGTTTACTTTTGGGATTTCTCATCTTTGCCTTCATCTTTATAACTGTCTGAATGACAGTAATATATAACTTTGATTATTATGCTTTTCCAATATAATGTCAAATCAGTAACTGTTATGCCTAGAGCTGTATATAATCTGTGTTCATTTTAGTATTATTCACAATAGCCAAGATGTGTAAACAACTGAAGAATCAATGGATGAGCGTAAAGATAAACTGTGCTTCTATACACATAGACATACATTCATGACATACAAACACACATAACATACATATACATGATAACACAAAAGCACAACCACAAAAAGATGATCTCTACATTTAAATACAGAATGTGTATTGCGGTTGAAAACAATATAAGGTCAAGTGGAATAAGTCAGCAATAATAAATAAAAGAAATAAAAAATTTCATTTATATTCAGAATCTAAAAGAGAAAGCCAGAAACAAAACTGGTAGTCAAACATAATGATACTTGACAGTACTTTGGGTTTTGTTTGTTAAAGAATATAAATTTTATCACGAATAAAAAAATCATAAAATGAACAAATGTGTTTTTATGATAAAAATTCTCATCAGATACATAAACACATGCAATGCAACTAGGTAATTTAATTAATGTGCAGAAAATGCATTTATGTATTTATATATTTATTTGTGTGAATGATGCACATGTGTTATTACATGAGGCCTGTGTAGGGGCAAGATATTTATTTTTGATGCTGTTTTAATCATTTTTTTTTGTTTTACGAGACAGAGTTTCTCTGTATTGTTTTGGAGGCTGTCAGTCCAGCCCGGCCTCGAACTCACAGAGATCCACCTGCCTCTGCCTCCCGAGTGCTGGGATTAAAGGTGTGCACCACCACTGCCCAGCCTGTTTTAATCATTTTCATTGGAACGTTTTGAGACTACATCTTTGACTGAATCTGGGGGTCACTAATTCAGATAGGTTGACTGGTCAGGAAACCCCAGGTATCTCTTATCTTTATCTCATCACTTTTTTACAAGTGTTCACTGTCATACCTAGCTTTTTATCTGTTGCCTGGGGATTTAACTTGGTCCCTTATGATTTCATAGCAAGCATTTTAGACAATGAATCTTCCTCCTAGACCCTTTCCTACTAATTTAATGAAAACAATTATTGTATAATACATAGAGGTTATAATATTTTACACTTTATATGTCTGTAATTTGTTACTTCTTCCTCCAAAAGGCTAGAATATAGTACTAAAGTTAGTATTATCAAAATCACTACTCTGATGTTTTCATGCCTCTTAAATAATTCAATCCTTGTAAGTTTCCACTTAAACAATAGTGATGAACTAATGCACATACATATTATATATATATATATAAGCACATGGAACTACACATTAATTAAAACTACCCATCCCCTTAAAATAGAATTACAGTAAAGGTATGTGTAGTGAATTTTAATTGTTATCTTGTTAATTATTGGTTTTCAATCAGCTAAATGGACAGAATCTACATATTATAAAATTTCATACTTTAAGTGTATTATTGATTAAAGTAATTAGTATTCTAGTGTTCATACCCTACTTGTTTTTATTTTTGTTTATCAGTGTTTGTATGGTGGTTAGTGTTAATAGTAATTTTGACAGAATCTAGAATCACCTAAGAGACAGACTTCTGGGTGTACTGCGGGATCATCTTGATTTATTAACTGAGACAAGAATAGCTACCCAATGTGGTTGGTATCACATCCTTGATAAGATTCTCGACTGTATAAATGGACAATGATCTGAATACTAGCATGTGTACATCATGCTCTATGTACTGATTATGTATGTGACATGATCAGCTATTTCAAACTCCTGTCATCTTAGTTTCTTTTTATGATGAACTGGATGCTTGAACTGTGAAGCAGAATAAACCATTATCCTATAATTTACTTCCATCAGAGTGTATTATAAGTATAGATATGACCTATGAGAAGTCACTTACAATTTACAACCACCTATAATCATACAGCAGAATGAGCTGAGTGCTGCTGGCCAACTGTTTATAGGGCAGCAGAAGTGTTGTTAGTGATGAAAACTCAAGAGAGTATCTTCTAAGAAGTACCTGATGAAGAATGCACAGTGGTCACTGCATTCATATCAGAGTCCACGATGGAGCCACAGTTGGATTCTGTCAAGGTACCCTGGACAGTCACAGGTGCAATGTTGGCATGGCGGAGGGCTGCTTTCAATGGTGCTATGTGGTTGTATTGAACTGAAGAAAGGCATCCAACAAAACCCAAGGTGTTTGCTCTAGCAACTTCTGGATCCAACCCAAGAGTTTCTGCAACAAATAAAAAAGAACCACAGATCTTAAGTTTTCAAATATCCTATGTGTTTTCCTTGCCCATTAACTAAAATGACTGAAACTTCCTTGTTATTCTTTGAATAAGGAAAGTATTCATACAACCCTCTTCCTCATCTCAACTGCACATTTACTGCAAGCATTAACTAAAACAACTGAAACTTTCTTGTTATTCTCTGAATAAGGAAACTGTACATATAAACTCTTGCATGTCTCAGCTGCACATTTACTGTAGGATTCCACTATATCTCATAGAAAAAGGTTATGACTATCTCTGCTTTGATACAAAATTGTTTCAAGTTTCAAATTTTTCATTCATGCATTTTATGAACTTTAGAAAGAGCAATGTAGCGGTATCATACTCTAATAAAATGCTAGATATTTAAAAGAATTTGAGTCTCTGTCCTCATCACTAATTTATCTATGGATGCAGGTGATTAACATAAGCAAATCACAACACTTATTACAACATTGGATTTACAATCCTAACAAGGGAGAAACATTAAGAAGAAAAGGATTAGAAATGAAAGTGTTTCTCCTAGAGATGCCTCATGCTTGTTGTCACAAAGCATCTGACTAGACTGAGGGAGTAAACATCTCTACCTGCATCACTTCTCTTTATCGTGCTGATTGGGAACTAATTGGGTAGATGACTTTTTGCCTATAAACATATTCAAATTCCTAGGATATTTTTTAGTCTTTATAAAAGATGAAGATGCAATCATTTGGGATTCACAGCAAGATCAAATGTCTCATTTTCTTCAAGACATCTCATTCCTTTTCTTAAAGGGGGTCATTTTAACAAATTGCTATGGTGCAATTACATAAAACTGCAATGCATAATGAACAGTATTTTTCTTAAGGTATAATAGTCTCAACATAACTAGATGGCTCAACTGGTTATTTTATTATGATAAATCTTTTAGTTTCTGGAAGAGGGGCAGGGATTTTCTTATCTACCAGAATACATTATAATTTTATTTTGATTCATAAATGGTCAAATAGTGTCTTCCTTGAACTCTAAGAACACATTACGCTGTCAGCATTAAAGAAAAGATGTGAGGAGAGTTTGGTAAAAACAGTTCTTATTAATTCTTGCCCTCCTATTTTTCCTCTAATTATTTTCTTTTAAAAAGATTTATTCTTATCCCTCCTTTGTGTGTGTGTGTGTGCGTGCGTGTGTGTGTGTGTATGTGTGTACATACACATGTGTGCAGTGCCTAAGAAGCCAGAAGAGGTCATCAGATCTCAAGGAGTTGTAGTGCAATAAATTTACATAAAATACATAGAAGAGATCACAAAGTTAAGAAAAACCCAATACTTTGGACAAATATTCCTCAATTCACTGAACTTTGTATTAAAGAGATGATATATTTCATAATCATCTTATTTCAGTGGTTAGGTTATCATTGAACTAGATAAAGAAGAAGCTAGACGAGGGATATATTTTATGTCCTGAGCCAAAGAAGCAAATCAAATGAAACTGACAAAGTGGATTCTCCCAGGCATGCAGCATGCATGTCTGACTCTCACCACCAAATATACTAGTGCCATTCTCTGTTCTCAAGATTTCCTAATATACACGATTTCTATTCAAGTAAGGAGAACCATGAAGTTTCTCTTCAGGAAACATGCTACCACATTGCAAAAACATAACAATCTGCAATGAAAATGACTTCATTTATAACTTCCTTGTTGGAAACAGACTTAGTTTTACCCTATGAACACACTTTTAAGGAATTAACGGTGTCTCAATCCTTCCATAATTCTCCCCCTTCCCTGAAATGCTAACAGGGAAGCAGCGTGGGACATTGACATTGTGCAAGTAGGACACCGGGTAGACTAGAGCCGATGAATTTTACTAGAATACAAAAGATCTTCTTCGTTTTTTCTAAGCTTTGATTTTGCCCACTGTCAACCAGTGGTCATCATGTCTGTCAAAAAAAGAGTGGGAAAAATAAAACAATACTTGTAAATCTTAGCTGAGTATCAATAAATGCATTTTTGGCGACTATTACTTTTTGCTGGCATGTTCTAATATGCAATTATGCAGCCCAAAATGATGGAGTCACATGTCATGGAAAGACTATTTTACATCTTCATTTTTGTTGAGAAGGTGGCTCTATAAATATGTCTATTACACTTGCTTGAGGATTTGTATTTGAATTCCCATGGCTTATATTAAAGTAGCTGAATTCCATAGCCTTTGCCTGTAACACCAGAATTTGGGGGTTAATGTCAGCAGATCCTGGAAGCTCCCTGACCAGCCAGTGTAGAGTATAAGACAACCTTTCAATACAGTGACAGATTGTCTCAAGGAATGAGATATATGAGATATAATGGACAGTACCTGATATCCTTCTCTAGCCTCCACATGCATGCTCAAGTGCACACACACCCACACAGTATATGCATACACACACACATATATATATATATATGTGTGTGTATATATATAAATGTGTGTGTATATATATATATATATATATATATATATATATATATATATCCAAATGTTCGGGCCATCTTCTGGTCCTGAGAGTACCTAATATATATAATACATTTTCTTATTCGCAGATAAAAACAGAAGTGTGACCTATACATATAAACACATACATACACACACACATACTCAGCTATTCATATATAGTGTGTGTACGTGTGTTTATGTTTATAACTCTCACTTATATCTTTATCTGGGAATAAGAAAACTTAAAATACATTCTTCTGTTTTTTTAATGAACAATCCATTCTCTCTGCAGATTTGTTTATTCATTTATTTGTTTGAGACATGGTTGCAGTAGAAAGTTCAGATTATCTTGAAACAAAATTCTCCTGCCACAGTCTCCCAGGTTTTATGATGACAGGCTTTTGCCAACCCAACTGGCTCACACATGATTTCATTAACTGTGGTCAACATAACATATATTTCCCTCCCTCAGTCTTCTCAAAGCCAAGTACAAGAATTCTTGAACTTGCTCCCCATCACTAAAATTTTGGGGTTTGATTAACATCTTTCCATATGAAATGCATGTTGTTAATGATGTAGTATCAGACATGCTATTATCTTTATTGCTTCTATTGTCGCTATTGGTTCTATTATCTGTCAGTTTCAAATTCCTTTGCCTATGTTTGATGTCCTTGCAATATATCCAAGTAATATAATACCCAAGAATTGAAATTAAACTTTTGCTATTCTTATTGGTAAATTTGAATAAACAGTCCTCAAAGTTTGAAAGTTTGAAAGACTCAGTTGATAATTTATGAAAGATTAACTTCTTCAGAAATTCTAAATATTTTATTGTTATTATGTTTATTTGTGTGTATGTGTGTGTGTGTGTGTGTGTGTGTGTGTGTGTTGAATGTGTACCACCATGTTTGTGAAAGGTACTCTTAGAGACCAGAAGATGGCTGAATATTTGGTTATGAAACAGAAAACGTTGGTTCTGGGATTTGAACTGGCAGTTCTCTGGAGGTGCAGAAAATTCTCCTAACCACTAAGGTCTCTCTCCAGCCCCTCTTCAGGTATTTTGAAACATGACTTTCACATTAATATGCAAACACTCCAGAGGATTGGCAAAGGAAAAACAAACAAAAAAAAGAAGCACAAAACTAGTTGTAGCCTGAATATGCACTAGTCAGCAAATTTCGATGTGGAGAAAAAAATAGGGCTAATCCAGGAGAACTATTCAGGCAGCTTTAGCGTAATTTTTTAATCATAAAAAAGTACAAGAAGAGGTCACAAATTTGCTCAATGGAGACTTAGCTCTGCAATGTAAAATGACATTTATTATATGTCAAAAGTCATTTATGATATCTGAATCTTTAAGTGTCATTAAACAAGCCATTTAAGGCCACATGACCCTGACTTATAAAATTAAAATATAGTACCAGGATAAATTATAAATAAAGGGAACTGTTGTAAATGGAGATATGAGCAGAGAATGCAAGAAAAGTAGTTTTACTCTTAGAGTTCACTGGAACTGGAACAAACTTAGCTAGATGAGCTGTCCAGCATTAGGGCCAGGACCCTAGCCCTATCTGAGTTCAAATCTCCTATATGTACATAAAAGCTAGACATGAATCTTGGCACCTGGAACTCCATCATTGTGATGGGGATGTGCACATGGATACAGGAGAATTCCAGGGACTCAGTTGCTGACAGTTTGTTTCATGTTCTTTGAGAAACCTTGTCTCAAGTGAATAAGTGGTAGATGAATGGTACATGGATACGCTCTGGTCTCTGCTTGTTGTCTTTTTTCTAACAAGCAATGGTTTCAGATGATACATATTGTGGAAAAGAGAGATGCCTGGCTGTGAGAAGACTGAGGGAAATGCTGACACATCTAACTCAGGGGGTGGCATAGAATATGAAAGCTCCCCAAGGAAATGAGTAACAGTTTTTCATAATCTTTGTATGAGCAGCAGTCTGCTGGGAAGAGTTTTGGGGCTTAGGTCATTCACTGGAACAATGGAACCTACAAGTGAACAGTCTCAAAATAGGATGTGATTCCCTTCCATACATAAAGTTGGGAGGGGATATGCTATGGGATATGAGGTGAATTGGAGAAGGTAAATGTGGGAATATGACTTTATTTTCCAATATTCATGAATGAAATTCTCTGGGACAGAGGAAAAGTGTAGTAATACAAAAACTAAATTCTCCCTTGGTTATAATAAAATGCCTGCATAGTAAAGATTATGCTGCATAAAACTAAAGCATTCATGAAAACTAAAAATACAAGATTATAAATTATGGTATAGATGATACATGCCCCATGCTTTCAGAAACACTTGTGTGGTGCAGCTATTTCCCATTTGAAACATTTCTTTCCTGTAGGAGGCTCCTTGAGTCTCAGGATGTAAATAAAAGTTTTAATACTCAGGATGTGGTACATTTACACAACGGAGTACTACTCAGTGGGGGAAAAATGGAATCTTGAAATTTGCAGGCAAATAGATGGCAATAGAGGAAACCA